TGCAGTACTTCGCCGCGGGGGCGGTGGAAACATGAAGGCGGGGGGGGGGGCGCTTGCTGTAGCAATTGCGTTGCGTAGCGTCTGGCACGCTAACAAATCCAGGGTTTCGTGCCGATGGGCGATGTTACCCTCGGAAGAGGACGCGACGCGCCGCATTCCTCATCCAATGCCCTTGCGGTGTGTGGGGGCGTTGTGGCCCCGCCGTCCTGGGACGTTCTTCAAGACGAGCGTTTCCTTGGCGGTGGGGGGGGTGCCCCTGGCCGCCTTCGTTATCTGTGTCTTCTGCCGCGGCACGCTGGCGCCATCCACGTTCGTCATCGTCGACGCGCGTGTCGTGGCAGCCGCCTTCATCTTGGCAGGCATGGCGCGGGCGCCAGAAAACGAAACAAACATATGTTGCGCGGTGCCCGAACGCCGCAGGCGCGGCAGATAGGAGAGGGAAGGAGGAGCAGGAGCAGGAGCAGGAGCAGGAGGAATACAATTAGGCGGTGGATGGGGATGCGGGGGAAGGGGGGAATGGGGCGAGGAGGGGGGCGAGGAGGAAAATTGGGGGAGGGGGCAGTGAGGAGGAAGGAGGACGCGCGAGGGGGGGCGCGGCCCCCGCCGAGGCTTGAAAACGCTAGAGGGCGGCAGGGGCAACGCCGGCGACGGCGCCGACGAGGGTTGGGGCGGAGACAGAAGGGCGCGCCGGAAGTCGGTCCTGGACCGACTTCCGACGCGGGCCCGCGCCAGAAGTCAGTCCTGGACCGACTTCCGACGCGGGCCCGCGTCGGAAGTGGGTCCAGGACCGACTTCCGACGCGGGCCCGCGCCAGAAGTCAGTCCTGGACCGACTTCTGGCACAGCCCAGCGGCCGGCGCCAGAAGTTGGCCGACGGTCCGTGGGGGCCGTTCGAAGGGGGGGCTCTTGCGCTGGCAGGAGCAAGCGGCAGGTCGGCGGCAGTCGGCGGGAGTAGGCGGGGCCCACCGGCTGAGGGCCCGCCAGAGCTGGCGGAGAGGCGGGCGCTCTTGCCAACAGACGTTGGCGGGAGGTCGGCGGCAGCCGGCGGAAGTACGTGCAGCCTGCGGCCGACGGCCCGCAGGAGGCCGCGGAAGTACGTGCAGCCTACGGGCGACGGCCCAGGGGAGGTTCGTGTCGCCCGACAGAAGTCACAAATAGACTGCGGCGGACTGACAAAGGGGGCCGGCGGGAATCCCTGGGAGGCCCGTGGCAACCGGAGGAAGTAAGCGTGGACCACCCAACTGTAGCCATTCGTTGCTTTTTCGGGGCTCAAGCAGCGCGGGGGCAGCTTTTTCTGGACACGCTATCATGGACGCGGCACCCCCCCACCGTCCAGGAAACGCTCGTCTTGAAGAACGCCCCAGGACGGCGGGGCCACAACGCCCCCACACACCGCAGGGGCATTGGATGAGGAATGTGGCGCGTCGCGTCCTCTTCCGAAGGTAACATCGCCCATCGGCACGAAACCCTGGATTTGTTAGCGTGCCAGACGATACACTACGCAATTGCTACAGCAAGCGCCCCCCCCCGCCTTCATGTTTCCACCGCCCCCGCGGCGAATAATTGCAAAATCGCACGCCGAATTTGTCGTAGAGTTTTTTTTTTGCTTCCCCAGGTTCAACGCCGTTCCTGTCCAGGCCGGGCGTGGCCGCCTTCTTGGACAGGTGCGAGAAGCGCGGCATCAAGCGGATCGTGGTGCCCGACGAGAAGCGGTTGGCCCGCCGCTTGATGGCGCAGGAAGAGGCGATCGCGGAGTGCGAAGAGCGAGGTCCTGAGTTGGTGCACGCCTCGATCCCGGGGCTGTTCACCGACAAGGACCCATACACAGTTTTCCAGGGACACATGGCCAGGGCCATTTCTCAGATGGAGTGCCAGGTGGCTGTGGGCAACATGAAACACGGGCGCGACCGAGCACGCAAAACAAGCACGGAGGTCTCGCTGGCGAACGAGCGGAAGTGCGAGGGCAGGAAGAACTTCCTGCAGCTGCACCCGCGGTTTGTCCAGATATCCAGATGCCTGCGGCGCGCACCGCCAATGCCAAAGCAGCTGCCCCCCCGCCCCGGTCGTCCATAATCATTATAGTCACCACGGTTTTTCTTTGACGCAGTGGCAGGGCCACGCGCGCCTAGACGCACGCCTGTTGCAGTTGCTCCTGCTCATGGTCCTCCTCCTTTGACGGGCCACGAGTCTCCCCAAATCGTCCCCTTGTTGCATATGCAGTTACCGCAGACATGTGTAATCGATCCCGCATCGTACCACATCTTCTCACTCCACATCCTGCGGCGCAAGTTTGAGCAAAGTTTCTCGTCATTCGGCCGCCCAGGGCGGCGACCTCAGAGCGGGGAGGGAAAATAACGAATTACCCAACACACACAACGATGGACTGCACAGGCGCGTGCTGCAGTAGTTTCGCGGAGCTGCTAGACGCAAACTTGAAACATGATGGACCCACGAACCCGGAAAGGGATATAGACATGTGGAGCATGGGCACGTTTTCGCGATACCCAACGGGGCAACACCTCACGAAACATCCCACGAGACACCTCACGAAACATCCCACGAGACACCTCACGAAACATTCCGCGAGACACCTCACGAAACATTCCAGGAGACACCCCGCGAAACATTCCACGAGACACCCCACGAAACATTCCACGACGACAGGCAACCACTCAACCAAGGCGGTGTGGTCGTGCTGGGGAGTGGTCGTGCTGGGGGGAGGTCGTGCTGGCGGAGTTGTTTGCGTGCTGGGGGGTGGTTCGTGTGTTCGTGCTGGGGGCGGTGGTGTGCTGGGGGGCGTGCGTCGTCTGGGGGTGGTTGTGCTGGGGCCGATGGTCGTGCGGGCAGTGTACGTACGGGGCGTTGGTCGTGCGGGGCTTGTTTGGTCGTGCTGGGGTGTGGTCGTGCTGCGGTGAGGCGTGCTGGGTATGTGGTCTTGATGGGCTGGGGTCGGGGGTCTTGCTAGGGTGGGGTCGTGCTGGGGCGGACGGTCGTGCTTGGGGGGTGGTCGTGACTGGGGTGGTGGTCGTGCTGGGAGTGTCTGGTTCGCCGCTGGGGCGTGGTCGCGCTGGGGTGTGGTCGTGCTGGGGGGTGGTCGTGCTGGGGGGTGGTCGTGCTGGGGGGGTGGTCGTGCTGGGGGGTGGTCGTGCTGGGGCGTGGTCGTGCTGGGGCGTGGTCGTGCTGGGGTGTGGTCGTGCTGGGGTGTGGTCGTGCTGGGGTGTGGTCGTGCTGGGGTGGTCCGCACCCTGTGATTCATCGATCGGGTCGTGCTGGGGTGTGGTCGTGGTGGGGTGTGATCGTGGTGGGGTGTGGTCGTGTTGGGGTGTGGTCGTGCTGGGGTGTGGTCGTGCTGGGGTGTGGTCGTGCTGGGGTGTGGTCGTGCTGGGGCGTGGTCGTGCTGGGGCGTGGTCGTGCTGGGGTGTGGTCGTGCTGAGGTGTCCCGCGCCCTGTGATTTATCGATCGGGATTTCAAAAACAAGCGTTTCGCCTGAGACATCCTCAAATTTTAATCCGCCGGCCTCCTTCGACTTCGATATTTATCAGGGAAAGAATCCGCCGGCCTCCTTCAAGTTGGGCACGGGGGGATATGTTTACATAGGAAAAGAGAACCCTGGGCCTATGCCCTTTCCGGGAAAAATACAACAACTTAAACAAGTGCCCTTTTGCACGCGCCCCTGCTTCTGCCGATAAGGAGGGTAGGGGGGGCACGATAGCTTGCTCGGCGCGGCGCCGAGTTGTCAAACCCTTCACATGCCGCGGACTCGGCGCGGGCCAGCCTGCAAACGCAGCACGTTTCACATGTGACGGACTCGGCGCGAACCTGGGGATGCCTTCGTGGGCGGCGGCCCCAGCAGCGTGCAGTAGCAACGGTAATTGGTGGGACAAAACATGTTGGCTCTTTCGGTTCGAGACGCAACCTCTAGTTCCAACTAGCCCAACAAAAGACACCCGCGCGCTTAAAGGCCGAGCTCGGGCTGCATGTGAAGAGGCACGGAGAAGGCTCAAACGCCCTTGGCTCGCACCGCCTACTGCAGGGCAGAGTGGGAAGGAGGATCAAGCGCCACTTGCCCTGGCACCCCTGAGCGAAGGCCGCGTTGCGCGTAATCATACCTTCCAATGGCGGGCGCGCCAAGCTGCTAGTTTGACACCGAAACTATTTGAAACGCGCGCGCGGCCATTTTCAAAACCACCATGAAGCATTTTCAACTTCAGCCCCGCGCGGCCCGCAAGCGGCCTAGAACCATGAGAAAACCATTTTCATCATTCTTAATCTGATCCCCGACATGCCCGTGACCCTATCCAGATTCCGGAACTCGGGCCGGCACCCGGCC